TATCGCAATATATATCGCAATATATATTGCGATATATATTGCGATATTTTGGTGCTTCGTCACGATGCAGGAGGAGCGGTGTGGTTCCATCCTGGTTGTTGGACTGTGGACCAGACCTTCACTGCACAGTTGCTAAGTGGGTCATGGAGTTTGACTCTGGTCTACGTGTGTTTTGTGGACCTGGTGGTCTTATGATCCTGGTCCTCGAGGCGTTCTGTGGGGGTATGAGGTGCCGGCGTTGCTGTTGAGGGCTCTCCGGTCCCCGTAGCACTGAAGCAGCAGCTGTGTCCAGGCCTGTCCCCTGTCCCTGATCCTGTTTGGTCTTCATGGACAGGTTCTCGAGGCGCAGTCATGGAGAGGTGGGGGTTTCGTCTCTGCTTTATGCAGATGATGTGGTTCTGTTGGAGTCTTCAGGCCAGGACCTTCAGCGTGCTCTGAGGCAGTTCGCAGCCGAGTGAAGCTGCTGGGATGAGTCGGCTCCTCTGAGTGGAATGTCCTCTCCGGGTCAGGGAGGGGGTTTTACCTCGGGTGGAGGAGTTCAGGTATCTGGGCGTCTTGTTCCTGAGTGATGGGAGGATGAAGCGGGAGATGGATCGACGGATTGGGTCCTCATGTTGCTTTGATCCGTCGTGGTGAAGAAAAAGGCAAAACTCTGGAGTAACCGGTCCGTCTATGTTCCTACTCACCTGTGAACCGTTGGGTTTGGATCAGGACCAGAGGCTCAGCTAGAGACCGGGTGAGGAGCCCCGTCATCTGGGGGTCCGCTCGGGTGAGAGCTGCAGCTCCTCTGCATTGAAAGGAGTCATTTGAGGTGGTTCGTTGGATCGGAGCACCTCCTTTCAGACGTGTTTCGGACACTCCACTCCCCCAGGCAGAACCAGAACCAGAACCCGCTGGAGGGATTGTGTGTCTTCTCTGGCCTGAGAACGCCTCGGGGTCTCCCAGGAGGATCTGGTTTGTGTTGCCTCAGAGACCCGGCTACGGAAGCAGTAGAAGACGGAGATGCGTCACAAAATAAATCACTTCTATATTTTAAAGTTCTTTTGGTCGCTGTTTTCATTTTTAAGTTGCTGATTTAACGTAGCGCCGGACTCGTGGTGATCGGACTGAGCCGATTAATTACTAATTATTGTCAAATTTCAAACAATATTATCGTTTATCGCAATAATTTTTGAGACGATTAATCGCCCAGCAACATTTGTTATTGTGACAGGTCTAACGAGAAGATTTTTCTACGTATTAAACGGACTTGATAAATCGTCCTGCCTTAATTTCTTTGTTTTATTCAGAGAACCTTTAAATACTTTCAGAAAGACCGGAGAACCAACCACCGATCAGGACCACAGTTTAGGTGGTCTTGGAAGCAGAATCTAAAGAAATCAGGTCTGAATTGTGAAAACTTTATTCTTTAACCCGTGACCCGAACTCTGGTTTCTAACAGACGAACCTGCAGCTCTGAACACGATCCAAGAAGTCCTGCAGGGTTCTGAAAGAGCGGCGTTGGAACCTGCAGCGTATCGGGTCGTGCCGTGGCATCGCTCCACAGGAAATCTGTACGACGAGGAGCCGAGCAAGTGTCGTCTGTCGCCGCTGCACCGCTCCACCGATTGTCTCCATGACGACCAGCGCTTCACATCCCGGGCCGTGCCGTGGCACCTCTCCACAGGTCAGACCTCGGTCCGAACAGGTTCTCGACACGCGTTTTTTTGTTTTTTGAAGCTGAAGCTTGCCTCCGTCCCGCAGGTGACCTCTACGATGACCGCGAGGAGGCGGAGTCAAGTGAGGGCTCCATCTCCTCCTCTCGGGTCCAGATGCGTTCCGCGGTGGTGCGGCGGCTCAGCAGCAGAGCGAGGAACAGGATGTGCCGCAGCCTGGGGACCGACCTGGACCAGATCCTCCAGGAGGAAGGCGGCATGGTAGCGGTGAACGAGGTGGCCCGGCTGGACCGCCTTCACCGGATCTCCTCCTCACTCAGCCTTCCCTTCAACCGGTCAACCTCGTCTTTGTCCTCCTGTACCACGCCGCCGCGCTGCCCCAGCCCGACCAATCACATTGAGGCAGAGGAGAGACGTCAAGGGAGGAGGAGCCTCGCCTCCATGTCTGCTCACTCGCAGGTAAGACTGAACACCTGAACCGTTGAAGGAGAACG